AAAAATGCTATAGCGCTATAGCGGGTTACAGTTGCGGAAATAACGGAATGTATTAACATAACCTAGATACACCATAATATATATGCTAAAAAATAAAAATTAATTAATAATAATAAAGAATTGCTCCAAAACAAATAGAAATTCCAAGTAGCCAATTAAAAGATCTAAATATTGTCAATATCCAAAACATAACAATATCCAAAACATATTCCATTATGTTTCCATATTCAACTATCAAAAAGAACTAATCAGAATCTTCAATTGCATCATCACCAAAGTCTGTTTCAGCTTCACTGTCACTAGTGTCTATATTATACAATTGTTCTGGTACATCTTTGTTAGTACATAGGTGTCTTAGAGACAATCTGAAAGTCAGATAGACCCATGTACTTCTTTATTTGTTACGAATATATTTTATGAATAAAAGCATTATTTATCTTGTTTCATATTGCATGTCTCAAATATTGAATATGAGTAACTGGATAAAACCCTTGGAATGGAACAGGTGTCACATTGAGGATTTGTGATAGGGATCACGATCATGAGGGCTCAATGACACCACACGTCCATTGCCAAAAATATGTTCCTAGTCGAGAGATACCGATAATGGGCATTGGTGATCTCGGGTAAGACTAGCACGACTCAGCTACTTGCATGGAGATGCAAGGTAAAGTCCTCGTGAGCTACAGACATTGAGATGTCTTAGCCGACTCGTGGGTGGACCTATTGGAGAATAGCTCGCACTAAACTGACCCACAAAGAGACACTACAAGGAAATCTCACAGATAGTATCAATAGGTAATGTCTCTTATTATTTGGGTGTGTCTTTTCTTAGACCTGACGTTGTCGTATAGACCTGTGCTCTGGAAGGCTTGCTTTGATTGTATATCTTGTCTGCCTGAAACATGGAGACTCGTAGGTATACTCTTGGGCATGCCCTAAGGACTCAGGGCTAGTGTGACAAGCTAAATGAATTCGTTAATCTCTGTGAGAGATTAGGTTATCCGTAGACCGGTGAAACCGGGATGACATTTACGGGACTCGGGAATCTATGCATAGTAAAGGAGTCATGAGATGGCCCGCTCTTTAGAGTTCGTAAATGAAGATTCCTTGTTTCAGCAAAAGCTAACCCTAGACCGCAGCGGTTGATACGTTTTCATTGACCTAGGTCAAGGACAACTCACACGGTAACCAAATAGGTATAACAGGTTGATCATTCGATGAACTCAACAAGCTCTGGGGCAACAAAGCATTGCTAGTTCTCTGTGTTGTCATTAGATGGATTGGGCCTAATGGGCCCAAGCCCATTTATGTCAGTGACTATGTTGGGTCTAATGGGTCGCACATAAACACCTTAAATTGTCTTGAATTTTAGCATATGTGTTTTTGGTCCAATAAGGCATAATGGGCCTAAGTTAGAAAAACCCACATATTGGGCCAAGAGAGAGTAGGTGGCATCATGGGTCAAGTTGGACTTGATCTATGATGTAACCTAATTAATTTAAATGTTAAATTAGTAAAATTAATTTGAATTCTAATTTCGAATTTTGAATTTGAAATTTGAATTTAAATAAAATCAATTTAAATTCTAATTTTGAATTTCGAATTTCGAATTTAAAATTGGAATTTAAATATAGTCATTAAATTAGATTTATTGAAGATGGAGAAAATAAAGGAAACCAATCAATTAGATTGATTGGAAACAAATCAATTGGATTGATTGACCAAAATTAAGGAAACCAATTAATTAAATTAATTGGCTGAAATTGGGGAAACCAATCAATTGGATTGATTGGATAGAATTAAGAAAATTACCCAATAAGATTGGGATTTGATGAGGGCGCTGATTTGACCTAGTCTAAGGTTAATGAGTCGCCACATTTATATATAGCCCATCTTCTTCCTTAGTTTCGTATCTCTTCTTCTTCTCTAATTTTCTTCACTGAAACCTTAGCCAACACACACATCAGTGTGGCGAGTATCTCTCTCTTGGAATAACCAAAGACACTACTTTATCTCTATTTTTCTCTTGAGTCTAGCAACATCCATTGAAGGATATTGGGCATTCGAAGAAGTGTTCTTCTCTTACAAGACAACAAGATGGTGTGGATTTCCATCGGAGGACTTGTGTTCTTCAAGTCTGAAAAATTGATCAAGAACGCATTTGATCAGGAATAATTATCCGAATAAAGGTATCTACTTTAAACGCTAACATGTCTATTGCATGATTCATGGGTTAAACATGATTGAGGGTGGGCAAAGGTTGCTTCTTCCGCACACAAAAAAAATTTAATTTTTCCCTCTTTTATGTTCATGGCCTACAAAAGGCTACTTTCAATCTTCAAGTCCTTTTGTTTCTTAATGTCCTTTCCTTTAAAGCTTGAAGGCAAATTAGTGGACCTTGTCTGCTGTCTAGTGTAAACTATAGGCTTATCAGCATTAGTTACTTTTGCAATGTCACCCCAGGTCAAGGTATTGCTTGGTCGAACCGAGAGCTGCTCGGGAATATTCTTCCAGCTCTTCAAAGTCTTTCATGCCTATCTCTGGCTGCAAATGCTCCTGTTGTTCTTCTCTTATGACCGAGTCAAGGATTGAAATGCTAGAGCATTCCTCAGTGTTATCTTCATCAAATTTTATTGCTTTCATGACATTAAACTTCATTTCTTCTCCGTTTACACTCGTGGAAAGTTCGCCCTTTCTGACATTTATGATAGCATTACCGGTAGCCAGGAATGGTCTGCCCAGAATTATTGGAACTTCTTGATCTGCTTCAAAATCTAGGATGATGAAGTCAGCTGGTAGAATGAACTTGTCTACTTGGACAAGGACATTTTCAATTTTTCCTTCTGGCTTGGCTATAGATCGTCTGCAAGTTGAAGAGTGACTGTGGTTGGTCTTGCTGCTCATATGTCAAGCTGCTTGAAGATGGAAGCTGGCATTAGATTTACACTTGAGCCCAGATCACAAAGTGCCCGACCAAGATAGTTCTTCCCAACTGTACACGGGATGGTGAATATACCAGGATCCTTTAGTTTTGGAGGAATTTTAGTCAGGTACTTGCACGATTGTTGAGAGAGAGCTACGGTCTCAAACTCTGCGATCTTTCTTCTTTTTGACAAAATGTCCTTCATAAATTTTGCATACGAAGGCATTTGCTCCAGAGCTTCTACTAGATGAATGTTTATGTGAAGTTGTTTCATCAAGTCGAGAAACTGGTTAACTGCTTATCCTCGTGTTGCTTTTTCAACCTCTGTGGAAAAGGAGGCTCAATCGGTTCACTCCTTCTCTTGCATGGGGGAACATAGGTTGGTACTGAAACTGGTTCACTGACTTTTGTTGCTCTAAGGTCTGCTGCAGGTGTTGCGTCATCCGGTTTGATTTCAGCGGACTCATTGCTCTGGACCTTCTCTTCTGGTCATGTCTGAGCTTCAAGGTGTGAAGGGTCAGTGGCTTCTTCAGCTTCCTTTCCTATGGGTTGTTTTGCTGGTTCGCGCTTCCGAGGTCGTGCCACTAAATCTGGGGGTGGTAAAGTCTTTCCATCTCGTAGGCTTATAGCATTACAATGCTCCTGGTTATTCTGAGACGGCTTTTCTGTGTCACTAGGGAGTGTCCCTGGTTGCCTCTGCTTGAGTGCTCCAGCCAGCTGACCAATTTGGGTTTCTAGGTTTCGCATGGCTGCGCTGTTCTGATTCATGTACTCCTTGACAGAAGTCTCAAAAGATTGGGCTTATTCAGGGATGGAATCACAAGACTCTTTCTTATGTAGGCAAGCTGGAACTTATTTGTGCAGTCATCCAAGGGACAGTTAATTTCTAGATGGGTATTTTCCCTCTGCCTTGCTCTGTACTTGACAGAATTAATGCCTACTACAGGTATTTTTTGTGGGGCAAATCAGACTTGGGAAAAAAGAAACCATTAGTTGCTTGTAAGGATGTTTGTTTCCCTAAGAAAGATGGTGGCCTTGGCCTATTCTGCCTTAAAGATTGGAACCAAGCCCTTCTTTCTCGCATCCTATGGGATCTGCATGCTAAAAAGGATTCTTTTTGGGTCCGGCGGGTGCACCACTTTTATTTCAAAAGAGGAACTATCTGGGACTTCCATAACAATGGCTCCAACTCTATCCTTCTCAAGAGAATTGCAACAATTCGTGACCTGATAATACACAGAGAGGGATGTGTTGAGACAACAATTCATAAATTGAATGCATGGGTTCAAAATGATCATCTTATAGCGGGGAATGCATATGAATACATCTGCACAAGTAAGCCAAAGGTTCATTGGTTTTCTATTGTTTGGAATGAAGCCATTCCCCCCCCCCCCCCCCCTAAATATTCCTGTATTCTATGACTTGCAACCAAAAACAAACTGCTTACTCTACACAAGGCTGAGTTCCTTAATAGAGGTGTCATATGTCCTCTCTGCAACACTGATGCAGAGAACCATGACCACCTATTCTTCTCTTGCAACAACTCAAGACGAATCTGGGCTACTAATAGAGACTGGAGATGCCATTTAACTGGCGCACCAGCTCTTTGCAAGGAATCATTAATAGACTCACTCATGGGAGAGCTGCATCTAGCCTTTTGGGAAAGCTTCGTTGCTTGGCTTTAGCTACCACGGTGTACATCATATGGACAACTAGAAATTTGATGCTTTTTGAGAATTCACCCTTTTTTGTAAATGATGTAATTAACAAGATCATGTTTCTTGTTTTTAGGCACTCACTCTTAATACATTTGTGCTAGCCACATGCATCTGGTGCATCTGTTTAAGCCACTAGCATTTGTTGCATCTATTTTAGCCACTTGCATTTGGTGCTATAGATTTGTATATCTGTTATTTCGTTGATCTTGTAGCAGGGTATGCCCCGTCTATTTTGTATATCATTTTGGATTAATACATATTTACATTTTTCCCAAAAAAGTAAGCAAAAATATCAAAAGTTGTTACCAGATATTAAAAAAAATTGAAATAACAACTTGTTTTATTTAATAGCGAACCAAACAAGTTAGTAGCAAAATTTGGTATTTTGCATGAACTGATTTGTACTTGGGTGATGTTGACTCATTGCAATGCTTGACCAAGATGCAGCCAAAGGTATTTGAAAGTGAAATTTGGAAGGGGGGAAAAGATACTAGGTACGTACCTACCCATGTGTACCTATACTGGATATGTACCCATTATGGGTATGACAACCATTTAGGAGTACTCATGCATATGATGGCCTCAATACATTAATTAAACATAAATGTCCCTAGTCAAAATCAAGGGGAAGCTAAAAAAAATCATCAACTCTGGTTTGCAAATTGCTTCTCAATATCCTTGAAAGATATAGTGGCTGATCCCCTTCTTTTTGCTTTCTGCTGAGAAGGATGTTCACTCCACCCGGTCATGTATATAACCTACAAAAACAGAATGACTATATAATAAGTATCCATTTCAGAGATATAATTGAATGTTTTTGTACATGATTTTATTTATACTTTACATATATTTTACATATTGTCATACATTTATAGAATAAACATGTACGTACAAAGAACCCAGTTTGACTTCAAAAACTTTGACCTCTCTCCTCACGGGTTTAAGGACCAGTCTGGATTTTAAAACACTACTGGTATTGGTAAACACTACTGATTTTCTCATGCCCAAAAAATGCTTCTATTTTGATTACCTGGAAGGTTGCAGGTACAGTGCCATCTTCTGCAGCAAACATTGAATCATAAATAGCTGCAGTTGCTAAGGCTGTGTCCCTCTTTAGGATCTGTTTCATTAATGCACAACCTTTTTTTTTTCAAGATGTAATGCAACAGCATTCAAGGTTCGACATTTGATAGAAGGAAATTTTATTTAAAATCCATTGGTATGAAAGAAAACAAATATTTTACAGTGTTCGTTTGAAAAAGAGCATTTGTTTCGCCCATTGCACGGAGATGTTCTATAAGCTCCAGAGCTGCATTAAACACCAAAGCAAAAATGAATCAAAAGAGTAACAAGGTTATTAAAGTCGTACATTATTAATGGAGAACAAGTAACAACTTTAAAGAATTTTGATATAAATCATTATAGAGAAAGCAAACAACAGTGATTACATCATATATAAATGAGAAGGTTCTGTTCTATTTCTATAGCTTTTTGGTATGAGAGAATCAAATAATAAACATTTCATTTTCGTCAAATCCTCATGACCAGTGGCAGTGAGAACAAATCCGTGGCCCTTGGAACCTATTACACCCACTAAGATCATATTAGCTAAGTTGAATTCCATCACTCAATGTAACTGTTGGCTGTTTCAGAGGTTTTATTTGCGGGAGCAATAACCTTCTATACAACATTCAATGGCTAGGTGAATAGGTTGCCAACATTAGATGTAAAAATAAAAGGACTTATAAACCTTCAATTGCTTCATGTCTATTTTGAAATATAATGTGGAAAAGTAATAATTAAATCAATGAATAAAATGCCAGTCAATAATATTTAATATTCTATTATGAGATTATCCAAGCTTTAATATTGTGATTAAAAAACAGGAAAACATTATCCACTAGTAAAAGCATAGGAACTGTATCATTGGCTGCCCTATATCTTCCATTATCACCCTAGTAGAGTCCCAAGTTTCATTTAAGGGATTATTACTGTATATCATCGGTGAGGATTCATTTCAGTTTACCACAAACAAATATCATATTTTCGGTTATGAGGAGGACATACACTGTTGATAACCCAACAAAGAAAGGTAAAAAATTATAGCCGATCAATTATCACTATATAGTATATAAGGTCATCGGTTAACCACCTATATAGATGTTGCGCGAGAGCGAAAAGAGAAGTCTGTTGGGAAATATCGGTTCCCTCAAGCTTCGGCTAAGCAGCCTTTGTGCGGAAGTCAATCAACAAGATCCGGATCTCGGATCTCGGCAATACCTCGGCCTGAACTTCACCAGGTCGGGCAGCGCAGCGGAAAAATCAAAACAAAAACAGGAGAGAGAGAGAGAGAGAGAAGAAGAACACAACCAGATTTAACGTGGGAAAACCTTCTCCAATGAAGAAGTAAAAACCCACGGGACCTAGTCCAGATCAAAATTCCACTATGAAAATAATGGTTACAAATAATCAAATACACCAATGTGGTGGTTAACTCAACCTCTCCAACAATGGTGATAATCAAACTACCCTAGAGATGTTTCACTCAAACACTCTCTAGAGATCTCTCAGATGCAAAGCATAAAGCTTTACTCAAACAATCAAGCAATTTTTCTCTCAAATTTTTTTCTCTCAAATCTGACCTAGCCTCCACCCACAACTAATGAGTATATATAGAGGAGGTGGAAATTAGGGTTAGGGTTTTTAGGAAACCCCTCAACTGGGCTTTGGCTTAGCATTGAAGGAGGAAGCCCAACAAATCTCCCCCTCCGACTTCAATGTGTCGGCTTCAGCATCAACCCGGCTCCTTCACAGCAGTCTTCAAATTTTCTTGCTGGAACCGGCTTCGTCATCATGTCGGACCAATTTTGGTCAGTGTGCACCTTGACGAGTTCGAGCTCTCCACCTTCCACCACATCCCGGATCCAGTGATACCTCACATCAATATGTTTAGTGCGGGAGTGATAGGTCGAATTCTTCGCAAGATGGATTGCGCTTTGATTGTCACAACCCAGCTCGTACTTGTCTTGATCATGGCCGAGTTCCATGAGGAACTTCTTCATCCACAACATTTCTTTGCTTGCCTCAGTAGCGGCAATGTACTCAGCCTCAGTTGTCGATAGTGCAACACATTTCTGAAGTCTTTATTGCCAAGAGACAGCTCCTCCGGCAAATCTCATCAAATATCCTGTAGTCGACTTTCTCGAGTCGGCGTCTCCCCCTAAATCAGAATCCGAGTAGCCTTGCAACTCGGCTTTACCTTCTTCAAATCGGAGAAATAAGTCGGTCATACCTCGGAGGTACTTAAAGATCCACTTCACTGCTTCCCAGTGCTCTTTGCCTGGGTTTGACAAATACCGACTTACCATTCCAACAGCGTACGCCAAGTCGGGTCTAGTGCAAACCATTGCATACATCAGGCTTCCGACGGCGGATTGGTAAGGGACCTTCATCATCTCATCTTTATCTTCATCAGATCTCGGACACTGCTTCTGGTTCAGCTTTATGTGTTCGGCTAGGGGGGTGCTCACTGTTTTGGCTTTGTCCATGCTGAATCTCTTCAGAATCTTCTCAATATATTTTTCTTGACTCAGCCACAGTAGCTTCTTCTGTCTATCTCGGATGATCTTGATTCCGAGAATCTGCTTTGCAGGGCCGAGGTCCTTCATTGCGAAGGACGAGCTCAACGCCTTTTTCAGGGCGGCTATCCTCGATTTGTCTTTCCCTACAATAAGCATGTCGTCAACATATAACAACAAAATCAAAAAATCTCCAGCCTCATACCTCTTCACAAATACGCAGTGGTCGGCATCTGTCTTCTCAAACTTATGATCAATCATGAATGATTCAAATTTCTTGTACCACTGCCGAGGTGCTTGCTTCAAGCCATAGAGACTCTTCTTCAACCGACATACCAAGTCTTCTTGGTCTGGAGCTTGGAACCCTTCTGGTTGCTCCATATATATCTCTTCTTCTAAATCACCGTGAAGAAATGCCGTCTTCACGTCCATTTGTTCTACCTCAAGGTCCATTGAAGCCGCCATGGCTAACACTGTTCGGACCGAGGTCATTTTCACCACAGGAGAAAAAATCTCCTCAAAATCTACTCCTTTCTTCTTATTGCAGCCTTTCACCACAATCTGGGCTTTGTATCTCGGATTTTGCCCGTTCTCTTCATTCTTAATCTTGTAGACCCATTTATTCTTCAAAGCTCGTCTTCCTTTAGGCAACTCGGTCAGCTCATAAGTCTGATTATCGTGCAGAGACTTCATCTCGTCTCGCATTGCCTTTTCCATTCTTCTTTCTCTGAGCTCGTCACAGCCTCATCATAACTCTGAGGCTCACCGTCTTCAGCAACAACAGTGTATTCATCCGATGGGTATCTCGTAGAGGGTCTTCTTTCTCGAGTTGGATATCTCGGCTGTTCTTCAGCTTGAGAACCCGGTTCATCATTCTCATCCCGGATCTCATCATCAACTCGGACCTCAATGTCTTGGTCATATTCAGCTTGTTGCTGATCATCATTTTCTTTATTTTCTCCCCCTGCTTCAGCTCGGACAGGAGGGATGGGTTCTTCACGTCTGACAGTAACCCGGACTTTGGGCTTCGAGATGTCATGAATGTTCTCATGCTCATGAAAGATCACATCTCGGCTTCTCACGATCTTCTTATTGATTGGATCCCAATGTCGGAACCCAAACTCACATCTCGGTGAACCAAGATAGATGCATTCTTTTGTCTTCGCATCAAGTTTTGCCCTTTCATCTTTAGGGATATGCACGAAAGCTCGGCATCCAAACACCTTCAATTGATTGTAGGCCGCTTTCCGACCTGTCCAGACTTCTTCTGGAATTTCTCCTTCAAGTGGCCGTGATGGTGAGAGGTTGATCAAGTCAACCGCGGTTTTGACGGCTTCTCCCCAAAATGATTTCGGCAATCCGGCATTGGATAACAAGCTTCGGACCTTCTCTTCAATAGTTCTGTTCATTCGCTCAGCCAGTCCATTCAGCTGATGTGTCTTGGGGGCGTTTTCTCAAGTCGAATCCCGGCCGCTCTGCAGTATGCATCAAAAGGGCCGCAATACTCACCACCATTATCAGATCGAACCACCTTCAATTTCTTGCCAGTCTCTCTTTCAACCATAGCATGGAATTCTTTAAAGGATTGGAGTACCTGGTCTTTAGACTTCATCAAATACACCCACACTTTGCGGGAATGGTCATCAATAAATGAAACAAAGTACTGAGCTCCTCCAAGGGATCTTTCCGACATGGAGCAGACATCAGTATGGACGAGGTCAAGAATATACCTGCGTCGTCTTGGTTGATCTGGTCTCACAAAAGAAACCTGGTGCTGCTTTCCAGCTAGGCAGTGCGTGCAACTTTCCAACGCTTGGCCTTTCAATCCGGTCAATAATCCTTTCTTGTTCAGGATCTGTAGCCCTTTCTCGCTCATGTGGCCGAGGCGCTTGTGCCATAGCTCTAAGCTAGGTTCATCTCGGACAGAATTGGCTTCTCCACCATTGATCTTTCCTTGCATCACGTACAAGGAGCCTTCCTTTTTACCTCGAGCCACGACCAAGTTTCCCTTGGCCAACTTCCATCTCACACTACCGAAGTAGTTCACTAACCCGGCATCGTCAAGTTTGCCTACCGAGATTAGGTTCAAACGCATGTCAGGTACATGCCTCACATCCTTCAACACAAGTCGGCATCCGACATCTGTGGTCAGAGTTACATCACCGACACCAACAATCTTGTTGGTCACTTGATTTCCCATCTTCACGACTCCAAAATCACCACATCGATAAGAGGAGAAAAAACCTTTGTGTCGAGTAACGTGGAAGGAGGCACCGGAGTCAACAATCCAGGTGCAATCATCATATGCAACATTCAAATAATTATCCTCACCTAGGAGGAATATCTCGGCATCAGGTTTGGCAGCCACCGCAGTGGTGCTCTTGTCTTCCCTCTTCTTGGGAATAATCTGATCCGGCTTCACAGAGCTGTTCTTCTCATCATTTTGTAGGGTCCAGCAGTCTGGCTTCTTATGTCCTGTCTTTCCACAGTAAAAGCACTTCAACTCATATTTCGACTTTGACCGACCTCTGGACTTGTCTCGTCTGTCACGACCTCTACCTCGGCTTTTGCTTCTACCGCGGGAGTCGGATTTCCCTTTGTTCTCAGCAACGGTGGCCTCAGACGTACTCGAAGTACCTCGTTCTCTTCTCCTGGATTCTTCGCCCAAGAGGCTGTCTGTCACGACATCCATCTTTAATTTTCCATCTGGAGTCGAGTTATTCAGGGTCAC